TAAGGTCAGTGACTGGCCCTGCCTCAGGGTCCCTGGTTTTGCCAAGGGGTTGGAGATGGAACTGCGTGTCTTTCTGTCTCTTTATAGCTAGTGCACACACACCCTGGCAATTTTTATAAAGAAAAGACTAAAAAATAAGAAATGTATTCTCAAACAAGTCATTCTTCAAGCTTTGGTCCCTCGCCTCAATAATCCTGCTATTATGCGTTTTCTAGAGTCTTCAGCAAGTTGCTGTTTGTACTTTGTCCAGAGACCTCAGCTGTGATCAGTGAGTGAGAAAGGCTGCATTTACTCCATCTTCACCAGCACCAGAAGTTCCATCTTTTATTTTTCATTGAGCTCAGATTTGATTAAAATTATGGATTTTGTCATTTTTCAGCATTTTCTTATATTTTAACTGAGAATCCTTCATATGCGTCCTGACCTAAAGCTGGAAATAGAAATTACCCAAATTACCCAGTTTCTTTTCTAGAGACTCCCAGTCATTTTTTATTTAATAACACATTGAAGACATCACCACTGTTCTATATTAAGCTATTTTTGTATAGTTTCCTAAGTCCTCTCTTTTAGTCTACAAGTGTTTATTGGAAACTTCAAATGTTGGTTAAGCACTGTGCTAACACCTAGGAATATGGAACTAAATAAGGCAAATGAATCCTCTAAGTATCCATAATCTAACAAAGTGAACAGACACATTCAACTAACTGCAAAATGCTGTGATAAGCACTGTGACAGGGTGTCCCCGAAGTGTTTCCATGGCCCTGGGCTCAATAGTTCCAATGATAATCTGGTCAGTAACAGAGTACCTTAGAAAGGAGATCATAAATTAGACAGCTCTTGAAAGATCAGTAGGATTCCATGGAGGAAGGGTATTCAATGTAAACAAATGTGATGAGGCAAAAAAATATAAATGCAAATAGTAACTATAGCTAATAACAATGTATTGTATAACTGAGATTTAGTCATTTTTCTTGACTGAATATTCCTGGACTTAATATACAGATTTCTGAAAAATATTGTTTCATTAACTTTGCCAGTGTTCTTGTTGTTTTTATGGAGGAGAGAGTCTTCAGTGGTCCTTATTCCGCCATTCCCAATATCTTCTTTGCTGCAGCCTGTGTACTTTCTTCAGATCTCTATACCAAGTTTCTAATTCTCTCTTCAGCTTATTCCAATCTGCTATAAAATCTCCATTTTGATTTTAATTTTTATTATTATACTTATTTCTAGTTCTACTAGTTATTTTTTAAGAGGTTTTTGCTATAGGGCGCATGCACTCGCCAGACAGAGAGAGAGAGAGAAATCACCCCCCAGGGGGGATGGCCCCACCGCAATCCCTTCTCCTCTGTTCTCCTCTCAGGATCTTGGGCACACACGCTCATGCGCCTGGCGTGAGTTTTAAGCCACCAGGTCCGGGACGCAAACCACAGTCAACTACATGGGAGTCCAACGACATAGCCATTATGCTAACTGCTGGTCCCTACTAGTTATTTATATAACCATAAATAAAAGTCCAGTTGGATTTTACTTTGTATTATTTGATTGTCAAAAACAATCAGTGGCAATTGTTTAATATCACAGTTTCCCAGAGTAGTGATAATAGATGGAGAAAACTACAGGTTAGCCAAAACACAAAAGGAAAATCTGAGAAGGCTTTGAAAAATATCCCAGCATGATTCTCAAAATATAGAAGGTCACATGCATGTATAGAATAGTGCACATACTCTTTCTATAGTCTGGCCACTTTACAATAAATATGTTCTCTCTTTATGGAAAAAATATTAAAAAAAAAAAAAAAGAAGAAGAAGAAGAAGGTTACTTTATCACTATTCCCCTTGACTTCCTGCTTGTGCCTCACTCTAAGGTCACTTACCCCTGCCCTTACTTTCCTATCTCCAACACTCTCGAGTACAGATAAAGAGTAATTCAGAAGACTACCCGAAGGCACTTTTCACGTTTGCTAAGTCATGGAAACAACCTAAATGCCCACGAACTGATGAATGGTTAGAAAAACTGTGGCACATATACTCAATGGAATACTTACTATTCATCCATAAAATATATTTGAAACCATACTGCTTCTGTTGTTATAGAGTTATAAAATTATACAAAATTATAAGACATATTTTGAATATTTATCTTTAAAATTCAGTATTTTGAAACTTTGAAAGTTGTTTGTAAACTGTCAAGAATTATGGAGTATGAGCTAAAATTCTTTGCTATGTAAAGTAAATGTTTGTGGAAAAATATAAAATAAAAACAACTTGTAATGGTAAGAAAAAGAGTAATTCAGAAGACAAACATCATTTGAGAATAGAAACTAGACACTGTTGATCTAGCCCTCTCAGTACCTATAAACCCTGCAAGACTTATTTTAGAGGCAATAAAATGGGATTTTTGTTAGTCAACCAAGGAAACGTTGAAGGAAGGTAGCCATTTTAGTCCATTGTATTGATAAGAAAAACACCTAAGTCTGGGTTATTTATAAAGAATACAGGCTTATTTAGCTTGTCGTTTTGAAAGTCCAAGGTCAAGTAGCTTTATTTGGCCAGGGTCTTCTTACTGGTGGGGAATCTCTGCAGTATTCCAAGGTAGTGGGGAGCATCACATGGTGAGACAAAGCATGGGTGTGTCTGTCTGATAAAACTACCAGGAGTCAGTCATGGGTGACCTCATCCAATCCCAGTTATCTCCTAAAGGCCCCACCTCTTTCTGGATTAAATTTCTGTAATTGGATTAAATTTTCACCCTCTCAACATCATTATAATAGCTCACCAAATTTTAACACATGAGTTCTTGGGCAGGGTGTGCACATCCAAACCACAGCAGTAACATATTGAGATTAAGAGGATGAACACAGGGCTTGAGTGAAGGCTGGTTCTGCCTCAGGTTCTGGCAGCTGCAGGTGAGTTTATCACTTAAATTCCTGGCAACCCAATTTCCTCCTCTAGACACAAGGAGCCAGGGCAATGCTACAGGAACATTTAGTGGCTCTGAAACTTTCCATATAAGCATGCACAACCTAGTTACCTAATACACACCATTGGCTGCCCTGACAGATGACATACTAACTGGCTGGCTGGATGCTTTCCTGAATGAACGAACACAGAGCCACAGTATGACTTTTTTTAAGAATTATTTTATTTATTGTTATTATGATTATTAATCTGATCATAATCATATTAGACAAGAGAGAGAGAAAAAACATGAGAAAGCAACCCACGAGGTCCAGGACTCAAACCACAGCCGGCCATATGGAAGTTCAGCACCTTAACCACCATGCCACCTACCATCCCCCACAGTATGACTTGTGGGCCCCTTGCTCCATTAAAAATATTATTTTATATTATTTTATAAGGGTATTAGTATAAATATACTAACATTTTCCTCTACCCAAAAGTTCATTTTCTTTTCTAGCCTGGTGTCATAATCAGTACTGTAATTAATTGCAATGCTTGAAGCCACATGGCAGACCATGGGTTCAGATCCCTGGACCCCCTGAAAACACACTGGACATGGGTATGCATGCCCAAGATCTTGATGAGCTAGAAGCCTGGGAAATGGGGATCACAATGTGATGAGACCCTCTTAAGGGCCTCTCTCATGCTATCATGAATTAAACTTTTTTTTAAAAAACTTCTTAATTAAAATATGCTATGGATCTCTAAAAGTGCCACAGGCCCATTTGCTATGCCTGCTTACCTAATAGAGAAGTCACCCTTGATGAACTGAATGATTGCTTCAGTTTCTAGGATGTTTTATAAGAAAAGTCTTTAGCCTCAAGGAAAATAAATTCAAAAGTAGCATTTCCCATATTTTATACCAAGCCTATTGCTTCATTTTCTTTTCTAAGGAGATGAGTAGAAACTCCTCATTCTGCCATTAGACATTTAAAAGAAAGCTACTTCTGACTCCAAAGATGCCAGTAACTCATGTGACATTTTTGTGTAAATTAGAAAAAGGCTTCTCATCTTTAAGAAAAGAAATAAGCTTTTGAAGTAGTATTATTGCATAATTTAGGCAACTACCCCCACCAAGCCTGAGGAAAGTGCAGGCTCAAGAGCATATCCCTTCCAGCCTTTATTAGGAGTCACTGTCGTGGCCCACATGTCAAGGTGCCACCAATCCAACGCGAACCCCTGGCCAATCAGGTTTGTCTAGTTGGAAGACATTTTTACAGGATACATCTTTGAGTCAGCTAAGTTTTCTCAAAAGGCCCTCCTTTCAAATGCACTTAGGAGATAGGCTTTTATAGAAATATTTCCTGTCCAAGATTTCAACCAGGTCCTTGTATGTAAATGAAGGATTGAAACCTGTGCGGTTCTGATTGATCAACTCAAGCAGCAGTCTCATTGGTCCATTACCAAAGCTGACACTGTATTGACTGGTTGCTTTGCGTAGCCAGCATCCAAACTCCTTTCCTTCAGTGGGGGTCAACCTTAGGTTACTCAGCCTTCCCAGTGTATGTGCCTAATGCTGGGTGATTATAGAGGTGCATAGGGGTTAACACTAATCCATGGCCTCCAGCTTAAGAGCAAACTAAGTATTGTCCCATAAACCACACTATTCTCAATCTGCTGCCAAAGCATTTATATCCTATTAAGACGCTGGCAAAGTCTCTGAAAGTAGTGGAAGAGTCGAGTCATGATCTTGGGTTCTCCCAGAGCAGAGAAGACAAGGCATAGTCACATACTCATGTGTGTACCAGAGTCCATGTGCACACTTGCTTCTCTATGTGAATGTATGGCTGTGCAGACAAGGGAAGCTCATTGTGAGCCAGGACTCTCACTTTGTTTCCTGGGATTCCACTGTGAGGCCTGGACTCTCCACAGCACGTTGGTCTGTGTCTACAAGGTGAAATCACCTCCTTAGTTAGGGCACCCTTATGCAGGTCACAGTCTGAACAGCTGTGTGCAGCAGCCCTGCCTAGCTCACTGACCTCCTTGGCTGTGGGCAGATTACACTCACACATACTAAAGTTTCTGTTCTCCTCTCTGCAGGGATGACATGCCAAGCTCGGAGCTCCTACATCACCAGTGAGATCCTATGGGGCTACCGGTTCACTCCTGTCCTGACACTGGAGGACGGATTCTATGAAGTCGACTACAACAGCTTCCACGAGACCTACGAGACCAGCACCCCATCCCTCAGTGCCAAAGAGCTGGCCGAGTTAGCCAGCAGGGCAGAGCTGCCCCTGAGCTGGTCAGTATCCAGCAAACTCAACCAACATGCAGAACTGGAGACAGAGGAAGAAGAAAAGAACCTGGAAGAGCAAACAGAAAGGAATGGTGATGTGGCAAATCTAGAGAATGAATCCAAAGTTTAATCCCCCTTAGCTGGCCAACCCCTCTCTTCTTCCCTCAACACAACCTTTCCTTGTCTCTCATTCTCTTCCTTTCCAATCTGTCTTACTTGGTTCTTTACTTATTTATATTTAATTTTTACATTACCAGAAAACAAATCTTCAAGGTGTAAAATATCTACCTGCCCTCTCTCAGTTATTTAGATCAACAAAGTAGACATGGATTTGGCAAAGGTGCACTGTGCCCTCATTTGTGGCCCAAGCCTGATCTCCTCCCAAAATACCACACATTCAACTTCTAGAGATTTAAGCTACTTACCTGCATGTATTGTACAATACTACATCACTCAAAAGAGTGTGTCAAAGATTTTACCTGGAATTTGACAAGTAAGTCTCCAGTGCCTATTTATTCATGCAGTGAGATGTAGGATATACCCCTTGATTTTATAGATCCCAGTACATTTCATCTACCATAGGGTGAGGTGCTTGCCCTACATGGGCATGGCAGTTACAGGACCCAGGTGAGCTAAAGACAAACCACTGTACATATATATGCCTTATGTAATTATTTTCTTTTCAGTTAGTAATAAAACCCGGCATGTACAAAAGTACTGTAGAACAGAACTTCTAAATAATGTACATAGAGGTATAATTCATGTAGGTTGAGATATATAACTTTAGAAATAAGAAGAAAAAAATTCCCAATGTACAGTAGGCATTTCTGTTTTGATGTCTGTGTTTTCCAGGTTATTTTGATCCCATTGACTGCTGGCCCTTTAGTGCATGGTTTTTATTTTGTGTCCCAGACTGGCAGCCCTAAGGGCACCTCACTGTTCCCTCACTGATCCGTTCATTGAATCTAATAAGCCATAAGTCTGGGGGAAATCGAGAAGTCCAGTAGATGACAAAACCCACACCAATGTGCTGGCATACTGTGAAATGTTTACAAAACTGATGTCTCTTTTTTTCTTCTTCTTTTGAAGATAACAAGGGCCTCACTGACTAGCCTGGGAGAGAATACCAGGAAGAGGACATTCTCTAGCATGTCACCAATAATGTGTTTATGCTTTTCACGTGAGCGCCTTCCTTTTATAGTATAATAGTTTAGGAAACTTTCTTCTCCAAACCATTGATTTTTCCAGCTGTTTCACTCTGTAATCACAAGAAACTACAGATTGTTAAAATGAGACATGATCAGTTAGCAGAAGAGTTTGGGTCTAAGGCCTGAAACGTATGAAGGCAGGTAGCAGGTAACATACACTGTAATTACTGACTTTGACTTCATCTGGCATTCTAAGAATGATATCTTGCCTGCCTAGGGGTTTGTTCATCAACATTTCTTGCATTGGGATTTATTATTATTATTATTATTATTATTTGACTTTGACTTCATCTGGCATTCTAAGAATGATATCTTGCCTGCCTAGGGGTTTGTTCATCAACATTTCTTGCATTGGGATTTATTATTATTATTATTATTATTATTATTATTATT